TTAGCACAGAGCACTTGATCTATGTACCTTACCTGAGAATCCGCAACAATTAAACGTTTTTTGTACCATCCTTGCCAGCCCTGTCCCTTGACTATGTTACGGTCCAGTTTGTCTACCAAAGGACTAAAAAGGTTAATACACTTACCTGGTACCTTTTGTCGTTTCCTTGTCTTTTTTCACCACCAGTTTGATTGTTCCTCTTTTTAACTACCCTCCATTGGCCTGTGTTGTCATCAGACACAGACTCTCCCGATTTTCCCTGTCTCGTATCTTCCTCCTTCATCCTCGCAATCACTTCCTTTAACCTCAAGTTTTTGCCCTTGACCTTCACTAGCTCAGCCTTCAAAGAGGCACGGAGCTGCTTATAACTAACTAACCATTGCTCTGTCAGTTAATCCTCAGGAGCTAAATCAGCTGTGATCTTTACTGTAGTGAGGTCAGTGAAGTGTAAGAATAGAAAATTTGTACAGGTGGTCCCCAACTTATGAATGCCTGCCAATACGAACGGGGTTAATCTTGAAATTTACAGTATTTTATTTACCTGATGACTTATTTTTTACATTCATTTACAGTACTGTATTTTGTCATTTTATTTCTTCTTTTGTCTTAAATTAAGTGATTTTAGATGTATATGAGTACTTATGCTATGATATACCGTAGTGGGATTTTAAACATTGTTCTGTAATTACGGTTTGCACATATCATGTCTTCCAACTTACATACAAATTCATACAAATTTTCATAGCTTCAACGTTCGTAGTATGAGAGATACCTGTATAAGCTTTGTTATGTGGTTATGAATTGAATCGTGAGAATTCTGCAGAGACCTCACATGTATGATTTCAGATACACCTCTTCAATATATTTGGTATCTTGAAATGGTTCCAGTCTTTACTATTTAGCGACACTTTTAATATTTTAGTTGGCTAACACTAGACGATTTTATTCAGCACAGAGCGACCTCTCGTACCCAGGGGGTCAAGTATACTTTATTTTTTATTGGTTATGAATACAACACAAAGGAATGTAATTTTGAGAAGGTTAATCTTGTTGCATTCTATTGGAGAAGATTAAATACTATAGTTAGGTTTAATTTCATAATGATCTTTTGCTCAAACATTAAACACACTTGTACAGTTAACCCTCACTTTACGCAGTTAATGTAACCCGGAGGGTACCGCGGAAAGTGAGGAACGCGTAAAGTGAATAACATAACATATGGGATTAATTGAAATGGAGTCCAGGCCGATCCCCAAACTCCACTTTTTGACGACACATAACTATGTTGCAGTAAAAATTTTATCTTAACTTTATGATGGTATGAAAAAACAAGTAATATAGAAGAGGTTAGGTTAGGAAAGATAAAGGTTAACATAGGAAAAATAAAGGTAAGGTTAGAAAACTAAAAATTAGGTGGAACACTTACGGTAGTAGAAGAGATGGGTCGGCATACGGGGATGGAGGCTGGTTCCGAGGCAGAGGGCAGATTACTGGCCCTCAGGTGAATCACCATTACTAGGTGAATCATCATCACTGTCACTTACAGTTGTCAGGGCTTCCCTGACAAATCCCTCAAAGTCAACTTCACTGTCACTATCACTGGCTTGGGCTGGCTGTGGTGGGTTGCGGGTGAAGAAATCTGTTATGCTTTGCTGACGGCTGGCGTTGATGTTGTCGTGATACACCTTGATGTACGGCTCCATAGCCTGCACCAGCCGGTTATGGAAGACTTCATAGCGGTCATCGTCATTGTCGCGGGAAAGGAAGGACTTCATCTTCTCTGCACACTCCATGGCACCCTTAATATCACTATGACTTAAATTGTGTTCTTCGGAGACTGCCGCACCTTCTTCCTCCTCTTCACTGACGTGTTCTTCTTCCAACATCTCGTCGGCAGTCACTTCAGGATTTCTGATCACCTCCAGGATGTCGTCGTTGGTGGTCTCGGAGAAGCCTGGAACTGTAACAGTCTGCGCAGCTTCTCTGGCAAGGTCCACTGCTACTGCAACATTCTGAACCTCACCAGTCACAGATTGACTCCTCCTCTCACCTGGTATTCCATGCAACACATGTCTCCATGCGTGACGAATTGTAGCAATAGACAGCTGATCCCATGACTCCACCAAGATGTCCACAGCTTTCTTGATGTTAAATACTCTCCAGAATTGTTTGAAGAGTATTTTTTGCTGTTCTAACTGTTGTTTCTCGTCTTCGTCGCTCTTGCTATCGGTGGTGGTGTCACTCAGGTTACGCAACTCTTCCCTGGTGTTGGTGTAGTCGTTCAGGAGCTGGAATTTTTTTGTTGAGAATGCAGCTTTCACATTGCAAATCAACTCCTGGTCCATGGGCTGTAATATAGACGTAGTGTTGGGAAGAAGGAAGACCACTTTTACGTTGGGGTGACGATCTAACAGTAGGGGCGAGTGTCCTGGTGCGTTGTCCAGCAGCAACAAAATATTAAATGGGACATTCTGTCGAGAACATCCAAAACAGTGCCATTTACGTGCTGTCAGCCAGTGGACATTTAGCTTGGTCATGTCCATGCTCTTGTAGGCGTGCGGCTTGCGGGCTGTGTGGATCACCGATAACTTGAGCTTACAGGTACCGGAGGCATTGGTGGTAAACAGGACGGTGATGCGTTCCTTCTGCATTTTCCGGCCCCGAATCCTGCTGGCATTCTTCACAACGAAGGACTTGGAAGGTAGTTTTTTCCAGAAAAGACCAGATTCGTCCATGTTAAACACCTGGTCGTCACTGTACTGTCCTTCCTCCATAATCTCACGTAAAAACGGAGGAAATTCCCGAGCCGCAGCACGATCAGCACTCGCTTCTTCACCACCAATGTTTATATTGGTGATCTTGTTCCGGATCTTAAACCTCTGTAACCACCCAGAGGAAGCATTAAAGGGTTTGGGCTCTGAAGTTCCCATCTTTCGTGCCACTGCCATGTACAGTTCACGTGCGTAGTCCTTCACAGAGCGCGTGTCGACCGCCATGTTCCGTCGCGCCTGACGCACCAAGTACCTCACAAGTAATTTTTCTGTCTTGAGAAGCACCTGGTTGTGAAAATACTTGATCATAGAAGCACCTGTAGACTTTGTGATCTTCATGTGCTCCTTTATCTTGGCTGAATCCTTCTTTATAGTCCGGATCGTAGATTCGTTCACGCCATGCTGGCGCGCCAAATCAACCTGCCTTGTTCCTTTCTCCAACTCTTGGATGATGCTATACTTCACCTCGTAGCTTAAGGAACGTCGTGTCTTCTTTGGTTTAGTGCCGCTGGGTCCAGGTAAGGAAAGGTTTCTCTCTGGGGGTGGTGGTCCGGCGGAAGCTATATTACGGAACAATGGATGCGCGTTTACACGGAGTGGCCTGGAGGGATGAAACTGCCGCGGCTAGGTCAAGCGTCGTCTCTCCTCCCTCCCTCCCTCCCCCGGGTGGACACGTCATAATACTTTAAGCCAATTACAGCTAGCAGCAGAGGGGGGTAGGGATGCATGGCCAATCACAGGTCTGATACGTCATATGACGTCAGTGATAACGCAACAAAGACACACACTGCGCAACCTTACCGCGCCGCTTGCCCAAGCGGAGGGAGGAGGAGGGAGAGGCAGGCAGGCGGGCGGGTGGGTGGCGCGTGGGGCAAATCTAAAAATAGCGTCGCGCCGGACACTCTCCGCGTAATGGCGTTCACGTACCGCGTAATGTGAGCACGTGAGGTTCTGGCAAGGCACCGCGTTGACGGTGAACCGCGGAATGCGTGACCACGTAATGTGAGGGTTGACTGTACTCACATATTCCTCTATATGAGCTCAAATAAACAATGATATGCCACCTGGGATGAGGATGTGTCATTAAAAACTTTCAGTTTCTCTTTGAAATAAAATTTAGCAGTAGTGAGGAAGCAAGGTAGAGAACTCTTGAGGGAGGTAATATCAACAAGCTCCTTTGGAAATGGATTTTATGATATATTTTCTATTTTTACTGTTTCATATCTCAACATGAAGTTGTGTTTGTTGGGCGCTGTAGACTTGGCACTTGTAAGCCCCATTTAGTTATGTTTGTTGGTCGCTGTAGACTTGGCACTTGTAAGCCCCATTTAGTTATGTTTGTTGGTCGCTGTAGACTTGGCACTTGTAAGCCCCATTTAGTTATGTTTGTTGGTCGCTGTAGACTTGGCACTTGTAAGCCTCATTTAGTTATGTTTGTTGGTCGCTGTAGACTTGGCACTTGTAAGCCCCATTTAGTTATGTTTGTTGGTCGCTGTAGACTTGGCACTTGTAAGCCCCATTTAGTTATGTTTGTTGGTCGCTGTAGACTTGGCACTTGTAAGCCCCATTTAGTTATGTTTGTTGGTCGCTGTAGACCTGGCACTTGTAAGCCACATATATTTCTGTTTTTAAATAATTTTTTAAGCTTAGTTTGGAATATTTTTTAAATAAACCCTCAGGTAGATATGCATATAAGCAGCCAGTTATTATATACAAACTTCAAGAGTGACCAGAACATTGACTGTGTAATGACCACCAGAAGACCAAGAAAAAAAAAATCTTTCTTAAGGGCTAGCTTGTAATAGTTGATGTAGACTTGTGTATTATATTATTTTTATAAAAATTACATTACTGTAGCACCTTGAACATGCTGGAGGTAAATAAACTTCTGCTTCAAGATGATATCAGATACAGACAGTATTTCAATGCTTTAAGATAGAATGTAAGTAGAGAAATTACAGTGGATGGTAAACCTGGGGATCATAATTAGATTTTGTTTTTATATGTATACAAATGTGGTTTCAAAATATTTCCTTTTGTAACTGAAACCAATAAATTAATTGGTGAAGCATCTAGTTGTTGCTGTGTAGGGAATCAAGATTCAACCATAGTACATCAAGTAATTCCTGAAAGACTTGTGGGTTAACACTTTATCTGTGTATGAGGATACCAAGTAATTCTTAGTTATACCAGAGTTTCTGATTATTTCACATTATTCCTCCTCCTCAGCACCGGTGATCCCGACCAGACCGACATGGACATCATCTTGGTGCTGACCCGTGACTCCTATTATGTTGCACAGTGAGTAACTCTCTTTATCTTATTTGCTTACTTAGTGTGTGTGGTGAGGAGAGGAGGAGTGTTGGCTGGTATAACCTTTCCTCCCCAGGGTGACCAGGGACCATCTGCACCAGAGGTAGTAACAGGATACACTGTCCTACATGGAGGTTATATATGAGCAGACTTGTTGCATTTATTGGAGGGAGAGACAGAGGGGGGTGTGGTAATAGTAGTTGTACCAGACTAGGTGTAGTAATAGTAGTATAGTGGTCCCTCGGTTAACGAGCACAATCCATTCTAGAAGGTTGCTCGTTAACCGAAAAACTCGTTAACCGAAAGGTAGAAAAGTACACTTACTTTGAGGTGTGTATGTAGAAGGCTCCTGGATGATGATGATGGGAATTAGAATGGGGGTGGAGGAGGGGGGAGAAGAGAAGGCATTGGGGTGGAAGAGAAGTCACCCCATGGCGCCATTTCACCCATAAAATTTTAGTTCTCTTGGTGTAATTCAAGATTATTTTCTTTAAATCAACACTGCACTGCATTATATATTGTCAATATGTAAAATAAATTTCAAAATGACCAATAATTTGCTTGCAAAAACAGAAAAAAATCATTTAGTTGAAGAGAGTCTCAAGCAAGATGTTACCTCCACTGAAAAGATACTAAGACTGATGCCTGTATGGTGTGTTGAGAGGCTGGATGGCACGCATAAAACTAGTTTCATTACCTTCAATCATGTTCAATAATTGTTAAAATGAGTAAAAAATTTAATATTAAACTTTTAAAATTATTGAAGAGTATAAATTTCTTGATATTTGCTAAAATGGTAAGGAATTTAAGCCCTAGAACCGATTACTGTATTGGCGGACTAATACTACAGCTGGTGGACCGCCAAATGCAAGCGAAATCATGTTCAGGTTGGCTCGTAAGAAACTCGTTAATCGAGGGATTGCTCGTTAACCGAAGTTAGAATCTTATGGAAGGTAACTCGTTAACCGAAATCTCGTTAACCGAGGCGCTCGTTAACCGAGGGACCACTGTAGTACCAGATTAGGTGTAGTAATAGCAGCAGTACTGGACTAGGTGTAGTAATAGTAGTACCAGATTAGGGGTAGTAATAGCAGTAGTACTGGACTAGGTGTAGTAATAGTAGTACAGGTTGTACCTCTCTAGTCCGGCATTCTGTGGTCCGGAAACTCCCATGGTCCGGAACGATTTTAGTTTGTCCAATAGGTAGATAGGCAGCTTTTTTTTTTTTTATACTTTATGTGAATTATTATTACAGGAGTGCTGAAATTTTCCCCTCAGGCCCCAGTGTGGGTCAGTACCCTATCTGCAGGTGGGCTAATCCCTTAAAAAGCAAAAAACAAAAAAAAAAAACAGCTTGGGATCAAATTTTGTTTACATCTGGCAATTCGCTGCTCTCTCTCTCTCTCTCTCTCTCTCTCTCTCTCTCTCTCTCTCTCTCTCTCTCTCTCTCTCTCTCTCTCTCTCTCTCTCTCTCTCTCTCTCTCTCTCTCTCTCTCTCTCTCTCTCTCTCTCTCTCTCTCTCTCTCTCTCTCTCTCTCTCTCTCTCTCTCTCTCTCTCTCTCTCTCTCTCTCTCTCTCTCTCTCTCTCTCTCTCTCTCTCTCTCTCTCTCTCTCTCTCTCTCTCTCTCTCTCTCTCTCTCTCTCTCTCTCTCTCTCTCTCTCTCTCTCTCTCTCTCTCTCTCTCTCTCTCTCTCTCTCTCTCTCTCTCTCTCTCTCTCTCTCTCTCTCTCTCTCTCTCTCTCTCTCTCTCTCTCTCTCTCTCTCTCTCTCTCTCTCTCTCTCTCTCTCTCTCTCTCTCTCTCTCTCTCTCTCTCTCTCTCTCTCTCTCTCTCTCTCTCTCTCTCTCTCTCTCTCTCTCTCTCTCTCTCTCTCTCTCTCTCTCTCTCTCTCTCTCTCTCTCTCTCTCTCTCTCTCTCTCTCTCTCTCTCTCTCTCTCTCTCTCTCTCTCTCTCTCTCTCTCTCTCTCTCTCTCTCTCTCTCTCTCTCTCTCTCTCTCTCTCTCTCTCTCTCTCTCTCTCTCTCTCTCTCTCTCTCTCTCTCTCTCTCTCTCTCTCTCTCTCTCTCTCTCTCTCTCTCTCTCTCTCTCTCTCTCTCTCTCTCTCTCTCTCCCTCTCTCTCTCTCTCTCTCTCTCTCTCTCTCTCTCTCTCTCCCTCTCTCTCTCTCTCTCTCTCTCTCTCTCTCTCTCTCTCTCTCTCTCTCTCTCTCTCTCTCTCTCTCTCTCTCTCTCTCTCTCTCTCTCTCT